GAGTGCTCATCAGGAAGGTTAGGCATCATTCACTTCCCTTTTTTCATTATTCATTTTTGGTTGCAAAATACTGTTTGGTTGATTTGAATGATTTTGAACATGAAATTTCTTTCTTTTTTTTTTTTTTTCTCTTAATAAAATGACCATTCTCCTAAATTGATGAGTTGTAATTCCATTTGAAATGCACACATACATATATTTATATATATAAATTTTATTTTATCAAATATGAAAGTAAGTATTTGGAATGAATCAAACACTACCCGAATTGTTCCACAGCCACCAACTGGTCTGATTGAGCCCTTGTTGTAGACATTTTTTTTTCCTTGAGCTCATTTTCATTTCTAGCTTCACCTTAGTAGAAACAAGCTTTTTACTTTTAAACCCTTTTTACATTGATTTGATCCCATCATGTTTGGTTTTCCTTAATTTTCTCTCTAAATTTTTAAGTTGTGTTTAGATAAAAGATTTGAAAATAGATTTATAGAAAGAAAAAGAGAAGGAAAAAGCGAGAAAAAAATTAGTTGATATTTCATTTTTTTATTTATTTCTACTTTTGGTTAATTTGAGGGTCATGATTTTCTGTTCTCAAATCTTACTATCTCAATACTTTTATAACCTTAGATCATGTGAGAATATTAATGTTTGGCATATTGGCTTTTTGGCTAGTATAGCCAAAAAATCAAAACATCCAATCATATCACACTTTTTATTTTTTTACATATTTTTTCATAAAGAGTTAAAAAATTAACTAAAATAATTAGTTTCCAAACGAACTCTCAATGGCCCTGTTTGGTAAGTTGTTTTTTTAGTTTTTTTAGTTAAAATTGTCAATAAAGACAAAATAAGTTAAAATAATTACTAAGACAAAATGTCATATCTAATCTATAATTATTTCGTCTTTTCTCTCATAACTATCAAATTAATTACAAAAAAAAAAAAATCAATTATCTTTTTAAGCACAACTATTTTAACTAAGTTAAAATAGTTAAAAAGGTCACATAAGTAACTAAAATAATTAATTTTCCAAACAAGGGCATACAAAAATATCGAGATATAATTTTATAACTAAGGCCAAGTTTGGGAAGACTAAAAAAGTGCACTTTTTGTCTTTTTGGACTAAAAAATTGAGGTTGAAAATATGGATGTTTGGGTTAACTTTTTGACTTTTTATTGAAAAATGTGTAATAAAAAATTGTAAAAATTGATTTGTAGAGAAAAATTTGAATTGGGAGTTGTGCAGCCGTAATTGTTGACTTTTGATGAATAGTGTTAACTTTTTAGCTTTTTGAGTAACTTTTTGACTTTTTAGCTTTTTTGGATCTTCTCAAACTTGGCCTAAATGTGTATTGAGACAAAATTATTTAGAACAGACGATCCTGTATCAATTATTATGTGTCGCTCATGTTGTACCAACATTCTGTGCTTGATCAAACACAGGCTATATCTTCCACAACCCACAAGTTGTCCTTGAGTCAAAACAGGTACGTTTACTTGTTTGGATAATAAAATAAAAAATGGGGCAAATTACATATACATCCCTTAAAGTTTAGCTAAATTACAGATATCCTTGAGATTTCTGAAATTACACATACCTCCTGAAGTTTATATTTTCATAACAAATTGTCTCATGAAGTTTATATTTTCATAACAATTTGCCCCATAATTTGTTATGCAAATAGTACTTTCATGGGGGTATCTGTAATTTCTCAAACCTCAGGGGTATCTATAACCTCGAGAGGGTATATGTAATTTGTCCTAAAAAATGCTATGAATGATGAAGCTTTATTTTGAAAAGTATGAGATGTACTCCTAATGAATATAAACTATTGATTCATTTTCTAAATAGTTTCTTTGAATTTGTAATATTATTGTAATATAATACTCTTTCTTGGATCATAGTAGATTTATTCTATTTTGGTAAATATAATGTATTGTAAAGGGAATTGACAGCATGGAAAGAGTAGAGAGGAATGAGGAAGCATATAAAGGGCTTAGCGCACTTGGGTCAAGACCACCAAATTGTGAGCGCAAGTGTGGAGGTTGCAAACCATGCAATGCCATTCAAGTGCCCAAAACCACTGGCCATTTGGGTGTCCAATATGCAAATTATGAGCCTGAGGGGTGGAAATGCAAATGTGGCACTTCTTTCTCCTACCCTTAATTTGAAGAAGAGTAAAACTATTTGGTTGTAGTTTTTTTTTTTTTTTTTTTCACATTCCATTCCCTTTTGATTGATAAATATATTAAATTAATTTTCTCAAGATTAGAAGGAAAAAAAAAAAAAAAAAAAACATAAAACCAACATGGTCTTTCTTCACCAATATAGGTTTGTGAGGCTGATGACAGTTTTATTTATTTAGTTTTGGGTTTTATAGTTAATTTTATGAATTTATTGTTTAGGTTGGTCCCATATATAATATATTTAACTGTCAAAAGTGAACAAAATATAATAGGACGACTAAAATTGAAAGGCCTGTTTGAACTAAAATTTAATAAAAAAAAACCATTGAAGGTTCAAAGCATACTATTTTTTATTTTAGCATGAAAATGTGTGTTTAAAGGGTTGTTCAACCAAAGCCAAAAATAAAAAGGAGGGTTGCTCAATATCTACCTCAGTTAAAATGTGGAGTTCATAGGAGCTTTGAAGGATTTCAATTTTAATAATGAATAATGTTTGAAAATTTTAATTTGAGGGTTTTAATGCAGCTTTAATGATATGGAAAGTGTCCATGTGAAGGTGATACTCACACTCCTCTCTCTATCCAACAATGATTGAAAGTTCTAAATTAACTTTTGCACTAATTTTTATTTTTCTACAAAAAAAAAGTGAAAAAAAAATAAAAAGAATAAATTGTCTTTTCGTAGGCCCTTTTTCACTAAAATCATTTTTTTCTCAAACAATGCCTTAAAATCTAATTTCAATTTGGTTATTTTGTTCAAGTTAGAGATTAAGGCTTGTTTTGGCAAAATTAAAAGTCATTAAAAAAAAAAATCAACTATTTTATCTACTTTTTTGTATATCTTTTTTTCATAAAAAGTCAAAACATCAACCAAAATAGCTAATTCCCAAACAATCGTAAGAGTAACTGTTTTGAGATAATTGTTAGGTTCCTGTGATATACACGCATAAAAATTAACCTAAATTTAGATAAAATGATCAACTTAAAATTAGATTTAAAATGAAAGAATTAAATTAATAATAATTAATGCTACGATGTACATGTAGAAAAATTAATTTAAATTTAGATAAAATGATCAAATTGAAATTAGATTTAAAATGTAAAGATTAAATTGATAAGAATTAAAGTAAATTTAAAATTTAATTATAGAAGTGAAAAGTATAAATTATCCTTTATATTTTTTTAAAAAAAAAGAAAAAATTGTACTACGCAACATGATCATGTGACATGAACCCCAAACGACAGAGGCACCTAACCTTCTTTTGTTCTTCCGATTCAAGACTTTCTCTACGTGTACTCTCCACGCATGCACAAATCTCTCTCTCCTCTGTTTGTTTGTCAAACTAAGTTGGATAAAATTATTAATAAAATTGAATAAGAGGATTACTACATAATGGTATTAAATTAAAAATGTAAAATAAATTTTGTTTGTCTACTAATGTGGTGACATTAGTTGATTGAGATTAAATTTATAAAATTACATAAAAATCCTCATTATATTATTTTTCTAACATGGGAGGGCGATGAGGCCATTTCACCTCAATCCTCTAATCCTGTGACATTGGATTAGCTAGCAAACTCAAATACATGTAGATTTGCTAGTCCTCTCCTTCATAAAACCATTTATCCCATGACAATTTTCTAAAACAAATATGATATTTATGGATTTCATCTCACCATTAGTCCAATTCCACTTTTATCTCTTTCAAAATTTTAACAAATTTCAATATGTGTTTATAAATTTGATTTATGTACTTAAACGAACCATGGTTAAACCAACTTTTAACAGCTAAACACAATTGTGCAAACTATTTAGTTCATGAATAAAGATTGGGACCCCCTTTTCCCCACCCCCTTTTGACCCCCTTTTTTTTTTGATTGGTCACTTTTTCTTTTTATTTTTCTTTTTTTTCTCCTCCTCCAATCACCACCCGCCACGTGTGTGTAGGGGGTGGTGGGGGTTGAAGTTTGAAGAGGTCTAAATCACTGCTGTTAGTTCATTTATCACCTCCTCTCTCTCTCTCTCACTCAGAGCCTGTTTGGAAAGTAACCTTCTTAGCCTCCGTTTGGGAAGTGGGTTGACTTTTTAGCTTTTTGATTATTTTAGCCTAGGACTAAAAAGTCTGGTTTGGGAAGGATTTTTTGGCTTTTTGGTTTTTTTGATTTTTTTTGTGAGAGAGGAGTGTAATAATTATGAGTTGGATTTGATGTTTTGTTTTTTGTGGTTAAAATAGTTTATTTTATTTTTTGTGACTATTTTAACCCCTAACCCACCAAAATCAACTTCCCAAACTATGCATTTTTGATTTGTTTGCAAAAATATAATGCGCAAAAATCTAATATATGTAGAAACTTCTTTTTAAAGGTTGGTGTTTTATATAGCTTTAACTTACTGAATTGAGCCAAACAAATAATTGGCTACTCAAGTTTGATTTTAAAATTTTAACAAATTTAAAAATATGTTTAAGTTTAATTTATTTACTTAACAAACCAGACTTAAACCAGACTCAAACTAATTTTTAACGACTAAACACGATTGTTTAATATGTTTAGTTCATGCATCATTGGCTCTCTCTCTCTGTCTCTGAGCTTGTTTGAAAGGTGTGGTATTTTTTTGGTTTGTTTGCAAAAATATAAGGTGCAAAAATATTTGGAAACTTGTTTTTAATATTTTACTAAATAACATGTAAATATTAGAATGAATATGAATTTTTTTTAATGAATTAATTTTCTTTTAATAACCTTTTAATTTAAATATTTAAGGCATCTATCTCTAAAAAGGCCAAACGATACGCACTATTGTGTCCAGTTGTTGTTGTATTGTAATAATCTCCCAACTCCACCTTTTTCTACCTCCTTTCTTTTGGATCAAAATATATACTTCACCAAGAAGTAGAAGAAGAAGAGTGTGTGTGTCCCAGTAGTAGATACATAGAATAGAGATAGAAACTCTCTCTCTCTATGTATATGTATGTATTTCCAGAGAGAGAGAGAGAGAGACACACACCCACACACACACAGAAAGACTCCACCATGACAAAGCTCTCCTTCCTCTTCTCTCTCTTCTCACTCTCTGTGACCTAATCCCCTAGATCTCCACAATTCTAGAGCTCGCTCATCGCTCAATTCGGTCTTGGTTGCTTGAATTTGAAGCTAGGGTTTGGCTTCCATGGAGCCTCGTGTTGGCAACAAGTTTCGCCTCGGTCGCAAAATCGGCAGTGGATCCTTCGGAGAGATCTATCTCGGTCTGTTCACTCTCTCTACTCTGACCTTTTTTTTTTGTGGTTGTAGTGTGAATTGACGATGATTGGGGCTTTGTTTTGTAGGTACTAATATTCAGACTAATGAAGAGGTTGCAATTAAGCTTGTGAGTGCTCTACTTGTTCATGTATTGCTTTGTAAGATTGTGTGTATATGTGTCTGTGTTGAAGTTGTTCTGATGTGAAAAGTTGATTTATGTGTGGTTTTGAGCAGGTGAAATTTCTGAAATTTGTAACTGCCGGTGTATCTGATTTATATTTGCAGCAAATTAGTGTAATGTAACTGAAGTACAAGTTTATTTTTAACCATCTCAAGACTGGATTACACTAGTGTTTAGTACCATGTGTTTGTGGAATTTACTGTAGATCCTTCGTGGATATAGAATGTTAAAAAATCCCGTCTTTACCTTGAAATGCAGATTTTTTTGAGTTTGTAGTATTGCCGTAATGTTATTGTTTATAATTGTGTTCAGTACAGTATGATTAATCTTTCGAAGTTTTTGGTTTTCTATGAGGGGGATTCTTGATTGGGAATAGGGAGTAGTCTGTTATTTGGTTCAAAGAAACCATCATTGGTGATGATAGTACACAGTCTGGTTTATGCTGTAGAGGTATTGATCTTGTGAACAAAAGAGACAAAAAAGTGGGGAGAGTTCTTTTGTAATTGTTTGAAAAGGACTATCTTTACAGATAGACCATGTTTGGTATCTTGTGGTAGCTATTTGTTTGCACACTTATCACATGGATATTTGTTGTATTTATCTTTCTGACTTTCTCCAATCTAATACACTGCTTTAAATGTTTTCTGGGAATGCTAGTTTCAACAATTTGCATTTTGGAATACATATTCCAATACTCTACTAACTTAAAATGGCTGGACACTTGTACAAAGGACTCCTATCTATATTACAGACATGTGCTCCTTGTGTACATTTGGAATGTGTTTGAGATTTCCAAAGGATATTAATAGTTTGAAAAAAGTTTCTTAACTTGACAAGCATCCACCATGTATTGAACATCAAGGTGCTGCATTTCAGTATATTAGGAATAAGATATTGCTGTTTGGGATATTAACTTAGCAAGTAACAAGGCTTCAAATGCTTCTTCTTTCTTTTTTTTTTTTTTTTCCCCCAGAATTTATTGTTCACTTTGTCATATCTGTGTCTATTTCTTTTTCGTACTTGCACGCTTGTTGCACACCACCAAACTTGGTATTTTAATTTTTTATTTTCCCTATTTTCTTTGTAGATTTCTAAGTATGATAAAGTTTTACTAGAGAACATCTAAGTGGAGTGCCTTGACCAATCAATAGTTTAATTTCTTTGGGTTATTAAACTTACATGTTTCATATATTATCAACAACAATACAATAAGTTCCGTAAAGTTGTTGTTTGTTCAATTTAATAGTAGTATGTTTCATTGATCACCTACTTGCTCAAAGAAAATCAATTTTGTATTAGGAAGCACCTCAGCACATTGCAACAATGTGATATTTACCTTCATCTTGTGACGTTGTACAGCATGTAACATACCCAGCTCACACCCATTATATGAATTAGACAAATCCATGTTCAATGTAACTGAGTTAATGTACAATTGCATAGATTTCTACTTATAAAAAAAAAAACTATAATTGCATGGATTTCCAAGTAGGTCCATCAAAATGTATATGGATTTTGAACCTGATAAGAAGCAAGTGATGGGGATGGGTCTAGACATACTCTTTTTTGTGGTTTAATTGGCAATGACAACACTGCATCTGGGCTGAAATCACTGCCAAATTACACATAAGAGTGATGCACTTTATGTGGATGGATTTTATATTGCAAGGAATTGATACAATGCCCCAAACTTTTGCTGCCTATAAAATTAGCCACTAGCCAGTCTCTTTGAGATGCCTATCCTTGCATATCTTGTCTTAAGTTCATGCTTGATTCTCTGCTGTACTGGTTTGGTTTTTAACCTTCTATGGTTGATAAGCTGCTAATACTGTTTCAAATCATCAGGAAAATGTGAAGACAAAACATCCTCAGTTGCTTTACGAATCAAAGTTATACAGAATTCTACAGGGAGGAAGTAATGACTGTTTTTATTAATTTATTATTTTAGTGGGACAGTTGATCTGTTATGAGCTCTTTTGCTCATAGATTTGATACTCTTTTCTGGTCATAACACTTCCGAAATATTACAGCTGGAATTCCAAATGTGAGATGGTTTGGAGTGGAGGGAGACTACAATGTTCTAGTGATGGATTTGCTTGGACCCAGTCTTGAAGATTTGTTCAATTTTTGCAGTAGGAAGCTTTCTTTAAAGACTGTTCTTATGCTTGCAGATCAAATGGTAACTGCATTTGATTTAATGCATACTATTATTGCATTTAGATAATTCTAAGTTTGTCAACACTTGTAATCTGGTATTTATTGCAGATCAATCGAGTTGAGTCTGTCCATTCTAAATCCTTTTTACATCGGGATATCAAGCCAGACAATTTTCTTATGGGCTTGGCAAGGCGTGCAACCCAGGTTCCCTGTCAAAATTTCGATCTTCGTGCTGGTTAAATTCCCCCCCCTTCCCAATATATGTGTTTATTAGGTCTTCCATGTCTCTTTTTTTTAGGTCTACATCATTGACTTCGGTCTGGCTAAAAAATATAGAGACACTACGACCCACCAACACATTCCTTACAGGTGAGATGATTTTGATTAGTTGATTATTTAATGGATCCTGACCTGACTGCCATCTGTGCTCTCATGAACACATAAACACACTACACGTTAGCTCTGTTCTTTTTCAGATACTCTTTGGTTGATGTAGGGTCACTTTCTAAATTGTTTACATAGGATTTTTTTGGGGGACCTTTAAGCATCTATATTCCAGGCACCCTTTTTTATTCAGTTTTACTTCAGGAACTGTGGCATTTCATGATTTTGAATTGATATCAAATAAGTTTTTGTTTGCCAATCTAGATAATTTGTTTTTTGTTTTCTAAAAAAAAACATAACAAGACAGGTATGGATGCATGCATAACGTGTCGTAGAGTGTTTGACAAGCGTTGGTGTCTGGCATGGCCACAACACCTTAGAAGTGTCTGTGATCATGGTGGTTGTGATGATGCCATGTGATGAACTCCCACAATTTATCAGCATGATAGTCTCTTATTCCCTTGCTATGTCCCTTTTTGTTGTTCATTAGTTCAGGAATTTACCACCGATCTCGTTTAGCATCTTTGAATTCTTTAAATTCTTCTTTCACCTTTTGGCTTTACGGAGATCTTCATCATATATGATTGTGAACAATGCAGAGAGAACAAAAATTTGACTGGAACTGCAAGATACGCAAGTATGAACACTCACCTCGGCATTGGTAAGTGTTCTCTATTGTTGTCTTGTTGGTAGGGTGGTTCACTTGCATGCACATTTTTACCCATTGAACGTCAGTTTTGTCATAAAAAAATTGACTTTGCTCTGTTGGATTGTTTTTGAGCTGCAAAGAACAAAGCAGGAGGGATGATTTAGAATCTCTTGGATATGTCCTCATGTACTTTCTAAGAGGAAGGTGATTTTTTTTCTACATTCCCTCTCTTTTTCCTTGCACTCTCTATTGATAGTGTATTTTGACATCCCTTTGTATGTGTAGTCTTCCTTGGCAGGGACTGAAAGCAGGAACTAAGAAACAAAAGTACGAAAAAATTAGTGAAAGAAAGGTTTCCACATCTATTGAGGTAGGTAACTTGTTTGTAACACAGCACTCGGATGTCTACTCTTATTTTAATATCTAAATCATGACTAATACACTTCCTTCTTAGGCTTTGTGCCGGGGTTATCCAACAGAGTTTGCATCATACTTCCACTACTGTCGGTCTTTGCGTTTTGATGACAAGCCAGATTATTCTTATTTGAAGAGAATATTCCGTGACCTTTTTATTCGTGAAGGTTTGTGTAGATTTTCTTTGTGATAGGCAGCACAGCTTAAGAGATTGATTGTTTATACTATCTGTTGTTTCCATCTTAAGAACTGATAATATTGTTCATGTTTCATCTTGCCATTATGCCTGTTAATACTGTTGCAGGCTTCCAGTTCGATTATGTTTTTGATTGGACCATTTTGAAGTATCAGCAATCGCAGATTGCCACTCCGCCTTCCCGGGCTCTTGTAAGTGACATGACAGAATAAATTGCCTCTCTGTTGTTTGTTGCTGGTATCTGTATTTATATGAAGATTGCTTCTGTTAGGCTACTGGTGCTGGAACAAGCTCTGGACTGCCACCTCCTGTTGTGAATGCTGATCGACAATCGGGTAATTTCCTGCACTGCGTCTTGGAAGAAAAGATAAACATTAGTCTTGTTTGATACTATTGGGGTGGTTTAATGAGTAGAGTTCCCTCTTTAGCCCACCTTGCTGACATGCTTTTCAGACTTGTTAATCTTCCGTTTTGGATCCTTTCAATGACTTATCTACCCTCAATCCCTTCATCTTTTGTTTTGGTTTTGTTATTATGTCCTTTTTTCACAAACCCCTTTAGATTGGTTTTGTAAAATATTGCCCATACAATAGAGAAGATTAGGTTCTTTTTTACTTATTCCTTAGGTTATATTACTTACTGCAGGTGAGGAAGAAGGGAGAGTAACCGGTTTGTCCGGAGTGGAACCATCACGTACAAGATTTTCTGGACCAGTAATAAATTCAGGAACTTCATCCAAGCAGAAGGGTCCAGTTGCAAATGATTCAACGAGCAAAGAAGCTATGGTAAGCTGTTCGAATCATATTTATATGATTCTAGTAGTTCGCTGATTTTGTTTCATTGCATAATAATGGCTTTTGTGGAAGACTTCTCTCATTTGCCTTGGATTCGTTATGACAAATTGGGGCTGGTGCTAGGTGCATACAAGCGGTTAGAAAATTGACCTTTTGCAAGATGATCCCCGTCGATAGTATAAATTGATGTGATTGCATGTGTTTTTTTTTTTGGGTTGATAAATAGCATGGTTTGCTCATATTGAACTTCTCTTGCATAATTGTTTAATTTGGTTTAAGAATTTGCTAGTTTGAGATACACGTTTTTTCCTTGGATATTTCAAGGTTCAATTAAGCTTTGTAAATAGGCTGAACGGTTCATTTGAGAGCATGTGATCTCGATGAAAGTACTTATTCGTGGATTGTCCCAAAGATTTGAATTTTGGTGGCACGATCACTGCTTCGCTATATCCACAAGTTATAAACTTTTTTTTTGTAGCATAACATTTCTTGCTGATTTTAATTTTACGTTTTCTGTCAGATCCTTTGTTTCCTCTTTCCCGTTTCCCATTCTTTAGGCTGTGTTTGGATTTAGAAAGGGAAAGGGAAAAGGTGTGAATGTGAATGAAATATAGCTACATTTCACCTGCTTTTTTTCCTTTCCCTCTCCAAATTTCTATCCAAATCCACAATCCAAACACAGCCTTAGGCTATATTTGGATTTAAGATTGGCATAGGGATTTGTGGAGGGAAAGGAAAATGTGGGTGTGAAATGGAGAAAATTTAATTTATATTTCATTCACATTTTGTTCACTTTTTCTTGCGCCCCCACTAATCTCTACTCAAATCCTACATCCAAAAACAGCCTAAACAATGCATTATGTGTCTTGAATGCAATATTATGATGGTTATGTTGCAGTTCAATTTAGCCTAAGCAACAATATCTGAACTTCAATGTCCAATTCATCTTGCAGTTGTCAAGCTCCTTTTTTTTAGGACGGTCAAGCGGATCATTAAGGCGAGCTGCTGTCTCTAGTAGCCGTGACGGAGTTGTCATGGGGAACGAGTCTGATCAAGTTCGCTCTCGCACCAAAATTTCAAGCGGGCAAAGAAGTTCCTCAGTTGGTGGATCCTCAGACCCCAAGCGCCCATCATCCGGGAGGAATACCTCTGGCATGAAGAACTATGAGTCCACTCTCAAGGGTATTGAGACTCTGCATTTCGATGATGAAGAGCGGGTTCATTATTAGATATTCACTGTTTTCTTTTTTGCATTCTTGTAAATCTACATACTCTGTGTGCTAGACATCAGATAGGATTTATTAGATTCTTGAAGTTGACCACCTATGTTGAGATCAACGACACTCTTGTGGACTTGTAGTCAATAAAATGAAGAGAGAATCCGAAAGCAGCAGCAGCAATTCAACTGAACCCATCAAGGTAAGGCCTTTTTTATCTATGTGGGCTGTCATATTTGCTCGACTCCCTTACTCTGATTTACCCCCCTATCCCCCTAATGATCTATGCATGTTGTTAGTGTTGGGGATTACTGGTTTTAAGCTTGTGGAACTGTAAATTTTCCGTTGTAAATGTTTTCCCGTTCTACTTTTGTTTGTTTCCCGTGTGTTGATGACAAGCATGAACTATTTGACACGGAAATTGGGTTTTTAGCATTTGGTAAGTTTTACAGTGTGGCTAAATACTACTAGTAGGCTCTTGGAGGACATGCTTATGCTACTACTGTAATAGTGTCAAGAGTACTCACCTGTGTTATTTCGAATTTGTGTTGATCTTTCATTGATAGAGAGCTGAGGTCTAATTTGCCTCTTGTTATTAGTCGTAAAATGTAAATTGTTTTCCAATTATTATGTAATATTGGTTTTCCTAGGATTTCCTCGCATATATTCAGCCCTTAATTCAAATTCAAAGACCGGTCTTTTATTTCTTAATATGTAGGATTATTTCCTGATTTTGATCTTGGTCTCTGAGTGCCTGTGGTTGCTGGCTACTATATATTTCTGGTGTCGATAAAGTGTTGGAAATATGGTTATTTTTGTCTGTTGCAAAGCATAGGCTCAAAATTCAGTGGACTGGTCCTAATGGAAAAGCCTCCATTCTCTCTAGGTAGGGCATGCAAATGGATTGGGATTTATGATTATTGGGGACCTTGTTTTGTTTATCAAATTTACTCGGAACTTGGAACTAGGGTTAAGCAAAAAATTAAAAAAATCACAAACTGGTTCAATCTAAACCGAACCAAATGGTTTGATTTGGTTCTCTTGAAGCACAATTCGGTCTTGATTTATAAAACGTGCTAATTATATTTTAGGGTTCAGTTTGTGGTTTTATAATTACTGTTTCAATTTGGAAGTAAACTGGATCATTTAGTTATATATGTTTATATATAATTTGTTATGAACCGTAAATGCTCAAGTAGGCCTGTCAGTGGATTGGGATTTTCCCAAATTTAATTCGAAACATAACATCCGATTCAATTATTTAAATCCGAATCTGACTGCCCAATTAAATCTGAATCTGATTCACCTGATTTTGGTTTTGCCCGAATTTGATTTGAAACGTCTGATTTGGTTATTTAAATCCAAATCTGACTGCCCAATTAAAACTGAATCTGACTCACCATCCTACTTTAAATGGAACAGATTTGGATAAATTTGATCTGGTCCAATCATGCATCCTATTCAATTATAATTTTTGCCTGACATACTAACCCTAGAATTATGAACACACTCTGATTTCAGTCTTAGACCACCACCAATTCCATCGTCGAGCCAATGCAACGCAAATTGATGGCGATGTAGAAGCAGCTCTGAATCTGCCTAATCTCTTCTCTTACTCTTCTGCGGAAGAAGCCAACTATAACTATCAAAAAATTTTCTCCATGTAATGAGTAAAAGGGATGTTAATGCTGAGATCAGGACTCAATTGCTTCCAGTCAAAAAAACCAGATAGAGAAATGCCTATATATAAAAGATATTTAGTTGAATCAAAAAATGTTCTCCATGTAATGAGTAAAAAGTTGTCAATGAGTGACTAGGTAAGTTAACTATCGAAGCCTTTTATGCAGTGCTGCCAAGGCTTCTTCTCTAGCTCCTCCAACCATGCAAGACTGATTTTCAACAATCAACAACAAACTCAGATCTGGAGTGCACTACCTTGCATGATCCATCTGGGTTCGTGTTACCTATGCTCTGTTCTTTTTGCCCTTTTTGTTTAAATTTTATATTTGTTCCTCTTCCCATCCCATCTTGGTTTGTTTTCAACGAATCGGATTTGCAAATCAGGCATCCGTAGAAATTGGATTCAGATTCGGATTACATAAAAGAGGCTTTGAAAAAGTTGATTTCAGATTCGAGTTAACAAGAAATCAGATCGGATCGGATTTTGTCAAATTTGATCCAAACCCTATCCGTTCATAGGCATGCGCTCAATTTTTACGTAAATGGTTGACCATTTGCTCTTGCAAGCCTGTATTTGTGGAGTGATAGAATTAGTTCTAATCATCATCTAAGCCATTCTTGTTTGTAAAATGATGTTATAGTGGGTTGATGTTTGTGCAAGTTAGAGCAATATTTTATGATCATATTGTAAGAACCCTATTTCAAACTAAACTTAACTACATTTGGTTTTATTCAAATTTTATAAAATGATTTGGTTCTTGGTTTACTTCATCAAACCAAATTGAAGATGAAAATGTAATAAGAAAGTGCAAAAGTAAAATTGTATATGTCAATGATTCCTTCCAAGATTCAAAAAGGGTAAACTATTATATCAAAATTCATGACATGAAAATGATGGTAACATTTTCCAGTTTTTTTTAAAAGAAAGTTCAGATATCATTTCTTCCTTCCCTAGTACTTTGAAACAAATAGAAGAGTTCATGCGGCATGTTACAGTCATCGAAAGCATGTTTGGAAATTTCACAACCACCCTATTGGAACAACAGAGTAATTACGGTTATTACTGACTGTCTGTGGGGGGAGCTCCTTGGGAGTTCACTGCCTTCTGTCCCTCCTTTAGGTCCTGCGCTTACTCGAGCTCCTCTAGCTATAACTGTTGAATGAAAATATATCTTTATAATCACAGGTTGGAATATCACCCAAAAAAAGGCCAAAATTTCTTGGATACACTGCCAACCTTGTATGCACGGTAACAGTGGCACAATTTTTTTTTTATTTTATTAAAACTGTTCTTAATCGTTAAATCATGAGGGGGAAAACAATCAATGTAACGGTTGATATATGCAAAAAAGGAATGGCCGATAGAAGCAGCAATAGGCACAAGCTTAATATGAGCAAATATACAATTTCCCACCAATATTAAACTAGGATTCAATCATGATCTAACTCTGGTAGTTCATCAGTTCAACAAAATTGCCCAAATTGTGAATTCAATAAGAATGGCGTAAGGAAAATAAATTATGGGTAGCAATAGAACGCCTCAGAACACACTGAATGATTGGAATTTCACGTTGTACAAACCCATTGTAATGCTGCAGTTTCAAAGATGGAACTTACTGAGGGACAGACAATGCAGCAGGATTGGGCAACTTTTGAGTTTCGGAATGCTCTCTCGGGCCATGGTGTGATGATATACATTTGTTTCAAGAGGGAGATGTTTCACTGTGTTTTCTCTATTCTATTCATCAAGTCGTGGTAGTAGAGTAGAACGCACATGGGTTGACCCAGAATGCTGAAAAAGCACCAGAATATCATATTGCCAACCTGAAAAAACAAAAATAAAATAAAAAACAAAAAAAAAGAAAAAGAAAAAGAAAAAGTAGAAGAAGAAGAAAAAGACCAAGAAACAGCAATTTAGATGAAAGTAACTCTGGTTACCAATGACTTCAACTACCTAGGACTACTAGAATGATTTTTCATGGTCTATGATGCAAAAGTAAAGTTAATAAGGATCCAATTACTGCCCGACAGATTCCAATTTTTTGGATCGGATTCAGATTGGATTATTAGGAGTAATTTGTCTTTCTCATTGACAGACCTACACCAAAGTAGGAATGGCAATTTTTCCCCCACCCCTGAATTTCTACACCACCAAATCGATTATATTTCCTAAATATAATAATATTAGAATCCTAAAATATTACATTTAACATTCATTTTCACTAATTTACTTCTCATCTTAAACCTTTTAAATCTCATCAATTATAAATCATTATTTGTAATATTCCATATTATCTCCAATTTTCATTAGTTTCGCCATTCCTAATGGCCCCGCCACCTTCCCAACCATAAATATATTTAGATTTTGAATTTGTGGAGACATTTATTGGGGGGGGGTGTTAACAGAAAGGAAATGTGATGATGCCTGTTTTTATTTTATTTTTCCACTTTCTCCTTCCTATTTCTTACTGTCTACGAATTCCACCACAAATCCAAGATCCAAACACAGCTTTAATTTCTCAAACTGGTATACAATCATACTACTTTAAACTGAAAGTGTTCTTCTTTGAAATTGATTTTAGAGTGACAATATATTTAATTCTTGAGAGAAGCACGTACCATAGAATTCCTGAACTTGTTCTGCAGATAACTTGTGATCATGACCAAGGGAACCTGATACAAGAAACAAAAACATTCCGATAAAACTCTTGAGTAAAGGATCTGTGTGTGTGTGTGTGGTGCAATTATCAAAACATACCAAATCATGTTACCTGAAACATAATTCCAATAAAGGCCCAAAATTTGAATATGTGGCAGGGAACAGCAATGCATAGCTACAAAAAGGTTAAACAAATTTACATGTAAACACCAAGTCATCAATGTCATTGAAAATACAAAATACAGAAGGTTTAAAGGTGGAATAGCTAAAATCATCAAAGGATATAAGTTAGGAATAACAACTAAAAAGGAATTCACTCTTTGGCTTCTTCAATATTATCAGGTCTTCCTTGGAAGCAATATGTTACATGAACTTAGGTATGGGTGTCGGGTAAGTGTTGGACTCATCTAATTCTCATGTCCAGGAGAACCAAGACACGGCTAGATTTCATATTTATTAACTACTATTACTTTCTAGCATAAATCATAATGCCTCAGATTACAGCACTACTCAATCCTAGGTCACTAAAGTGCCACCACCAGTAATAGTTGAGCTCACAATTCTTCTTTACCATATTAGTTTTAGTACAGAATGCTCCTTTATGGTCGTCATTACACCTTGATTGGCAAAAACCGAACAAAAAGTATTGCCACTGACCATCCTGTCAAGGTCTAATTCAGTAACCATATTTTTTAAGACAAATGATTTTGACAATGTTCGTATTGAACTTCATACAATTCAACTCTGTCGTGACCACCAGCAATGTGATGTCTTTGAAAAGTAGGCACCGTATGATCAACTGATAGCTAAGCTAATGAAATGTATGTACAATGGGTTCACTGAGGTCCATTTTATTCAGTTAATATGTGATGCATCAGTCTAAAACAGCACACCTAGATTGCCTAAACATCAGGCATCTTTTTATTGCAAAATACGAGTTTTGTTAATGATACAAATAAATAAATAACAAGAGAGCATTTTACCTCATGGAAAACAGCAGATACAAGGAAGGCAATCAATACCGCAACCCCCTAAATTGACAGAGAACAAAATGTAAGTGAAAATTTTATAAAACCGCAAAGTTAGGCACAAATATTGAGTACACTCTCACAAACACATGCTTGGTTGAAAAAGACTAGTGAGTGACCCCTCAGGGCAAACAAACAAGAAGGGAACAAATGACAAAATAATTGAGTAAGCTCAGCTAGAAATTTGAGAAGGTAGGTCAATTACCTTAGGTATTCCATTCCTTAAGCAAGGAAAATAAATATGGCGGACCATCCACTTATGAACAGGCTGTAATCAGTAACAATTTCCAATCAGTAATACGCTTGACAACAAACCACTTTTGTTCCTATGTTCTAGAAGTATGGATTTGGTTTCTCCAACTACTATCATAAATTCATACACAACTGAACAAATAAATGGAATATTCAACTAGATTTACACAAATAATGGAAAGTGCAAACCAAGAGGTCAATATATTAACAGTCGATGACCACTTTCTTCAGTAAAACAGTTTAAAGGGCTACATATATTGAGTTCCTTTACTATATTTTGTAGTTTATTATAGCAGGTTAATTGGTGTAACATTATATTTCGATCATGTCACGAGTGGATTCAGTTGGTTTCGTCAGTCATTGATCTCATTCCATAACAGAATCCCAGTGCAACCAAGGGCAAACACACTTGCAAATGTAACAGAATAAAAAACAACTGACTACTGCAGCCTCCTGGCATCCATTGTTTCTGGATTTTAATTTATCAGATACCAGAAAACATAATAGTTTTTCAACACCTTGTTATAATTTCTGAATCAATCCCTCTCCAATTTCTCTTGCTTTAAGAATCAAAGAAAAACCTAGACAGAATGACAACAAATGACGTGCAATCACTGACGTGGCCAGTGGTTGGGTCCTAGTTGGTTGATTTCTAAACAAATCAACAACTAACATACAACAATCCACGTCAATTGGGGTAAATTTAGGGTTGATTGATGTTTTAGAGGTCTTAAGCATTTTCCAAAAACTATATTTTGAAACTTGCCCAGCTGAACAAAAGAAACGCTATACAAGAATAGGAAAGTACATAAATAATGACAAGGCTGCAAGATTAATCAATATGAAACAGAAAGTCGCGTAAAAAATAAATTTGGGTGGAGGAACAAACCATATTCCACATTCTCCAATACTGATGTCAGAAGCCACGCCACAAAGTTCATTCAACAAACAGAGTCAGTCTACAAGTTAATTGAGCAACAGATGATTGGAAACATAAAAACCTTCAACATGTCAAACAATATAAGATCTACCTCCTCCACTGTTTGTGCATTCCACCAATCTTTGTAGAATTCACGATCACCAAAACAGAGAAGCTCAGCAAGTATGTTTAACCTATAGTTTTAACAATGCATGCAAGTACAACCAGAGTTTTGTCAAGAAAAGAGAATGACACAGAAAGTTCTGAGATTATCTTGCATTTAAGAAGCAAATTTTGTAACAGAGTGTGACTTCATCAACTCAACTAAACAAACAAATTTTCATATAGTAATGCATTTTTTCTGTTCAACTTCATCAAGAGCCGTCATTCTAATTAATTTGAAAATCAACTCCAAACAAAGATTTCAGTGGAAAAGGAAACAGCATGTGCACCAATTTTTAAATCTATTTACTACAAAACTACAATGCATGAAAGTGAAAAAGTGAACTCAACCAAGCCTTCTTCCAACTTTATTGTGTGGAAAGATGAGGATGTTTCAAGTTTCTGCTCAATCTAGGGCCATGATCAACCTTTTGGAAACAATTCTTTTTTCTCCCTACTTTATTTTTCTGCTCAGAATATGCCAAAAAATCTCTACTAATCACCTCAGTCCACATCATCTTAGGTCTACTCTTAATATTTTAAATACCTTCCATTTATGTCATCTAGCTTTTCAATGTGTAATTTTAAGTTTGCATAATACATGACCAAGCCATGTTGATCTACACATTCAGATTCATGACACATCAACAATGGACACGATAGTTTTATATGGCTATTCTTTGTACTTGATTGAATTTGTCCCATGAATATAGACTTGGTACCTCTGGTAGCAATCATTTTGATAGCCTACATTAATTGCCATTGCCATCTAAGCATTTATACCATGATAAATACATATCAACGGAAAAGTAGCCCTGGCACTTGTATTAGCACGCAAAACGTTCACATTACTGCTCTTCTCCTTTCAACAAAAGAGAACCACAATAGAAGTTCTATTTGATTGGGGACAAAAAAGATGAATTGAAGATTAGCATTTATTACATTTTTGGTATTATCTTATATTTCTATTTGTTAGGTTTTAATATTCCATCAGGATTCAATTAGTGTAGTGTTTCATTTTATTTAGGGTTTATTTAGAATTCCTATGAATAAGCCTGTGTGTAATAGGTTTTAGAAGACTTGGGAAAAAAGTCATTTTGATTTTGCTACATTTGCTGCTGAAGCCAAACTCCTTAGGTGCTGATAAGGTGACTCTTGCTACATTTGGTGCTAAAGCCAAACTCTGTAGGTGCTGAAGCCTAAGGTCTTCTCCTATATTCTCTTTCTTTCTTATTGTCCTACATCACTATTGATTACCTAATTGATTTCCTTCTTGTTCCTCTTTCTCATCTACCTGGCTCTCTTCTGCATCCGTCTATCTTCCTATCCTCGTGACAGTATTTTTTTTTTTTTTTTCCGATCAACAACAAAATTTTTATTGATAATCAAAAAGAGAGACGAGGATAAGGCATCCTCTACAAATAAGAGAAACAAAGAAAGGAAAATACACAGACATCACAAACACTTCATTCAAAAACAAACTCCTACATGGGATACACCGACACCCAATCTCTAGCTAACAAAAACAGTGGAACTCCCTTAAAATGGGGACTCATCGAGACCTAAAAGAAAGCTAAGTGACAAACTTTATCCCACAGAAAATCCGCATCTCTAGATTTATCTTCAAAACCCATGCATTCCTCTCCAACCATAACACCCAAAAGGTTGCAAAGACGGCACAAAATCATAACACTTTAGTCCTCTTTGACCCTCCCACACCACAGAAATCAATTAGCAACATTTGCACACTACCTCTTGGTGCCACCCACAAAACATTCTTCAAAAGAAACAACCTGCACCACAAGCTCAAAGCAACTTGACAATGCAAAAATAGATGATCCACAGATTCACTATCCTCACAACACATAATAAACCATTGAGGACTTGGAAAACAATTAGGTCTCCTTTTTTGCAATGCATCATTTGTCAAAATGCCTCCATGAACCAAGGACCACATGAACACCTTCACTTTAAGAGGCACACAAGCTTTCCAGATTCTATTACAAAAAGGAAAGTGAGGGACATGAGGAATATCAATGATTTTGTCGAAAAAAGACTTGCACGAAAAGATACCCTATGAATGAAGAGTCCAAACTCTCTTATCTTCCACACGAGGAGACAGAGAAAAGTGATCAAGTCTTGACAACAAAGATGTTAGTTGTGCAGCCTCTCTATCATTGAGGTTTCTAGAAAAATTGAAATTCCAAGAGATCGGGGCCAAAAAAGAACAAGCCATGGAAGCAACAAAACAATTATGAGACCGAGTCACCCTATATAGATATGGAAAATCCGAAGCAAAGGAGGAAGAGACCGTGACACTATTAGTCTATGAAACAAAGCTGATTTGGTGTTTTACCTTCTTGTTCTCTTTTGCTACCTCTCCTTCATCATCTTCCTATCCTCATCACACTACTATTCCAAACAATGCCAATTTGCTATTTTGAACTGAGCATTTTTTAAATTATTCATAACCCTCAAATTCTGTCCCCAAAACATTTCCTACAAATGATATTAACAAGTAAACTAATCTAATGTAAACCACAACCCCAAATCCTCAAATAGTGCTAAATTTTCGGAAACAATAGCATAAATTTGGTATCAAAAAATTATAGAAGAATGTTTTTGCACAAATCCAGCATCTCTCATATTGTTTCCCTGAGTTGCCACCACCAACTTCCCAGGAATGCATTTATTTATTTATTTTTATCTTTTTCATTGTATTGGTCTCTCTCTGATAATTAAAGAAAATGGCTCATATCTGATATTTCTTAATGATCAATCTTGACATATTCCTCAATTTCATTTTTGTATGTAGCAAAATTGAATCCACATATTTAGTTTAAATTTATTTAATGAACCTTCATAACAATAAACTTAAAATTATGGACACAGTACAATTTGCGAACAGCAAAATGAGTCACAAGAATTCATGATCCTATTCCTCAGACAATTTTCACATTACTCCTATAAGAAAACAGCTAAGAAGCATGGACACGGACACGCGACACGATGTGGATACGACACAGACACACCGACACGCCAATTTTCAAAAAATACAAAACAAGACACGTGAGGGACATGCATGAAATATATAATTTTATATATTTATTATATATTATATATATGAATATATCATTCAAAGATAGTAAAAAATGCAATGTGACACTAATTTCTATAAATTTATGTGATTTTTGTTTTATTATTGTATCTCAAGTTGTTTTGTTCAAACTCATAATTAATTTTACTTGTGTCTAATTGATAGACATGTGTGTTTAAGCAATAAATACTTGTGTCCTCCAAGTGTCCGGGTCTATAAAAAAGTTAAAAAATAGGACACGTTTTGAAGAGTGTTGGACACGTGTCGGGAAGAATCCAAAGAGTGTCAACATCCGACACGGATGCGTCACCTTAGAAGTGTCTGTGCTCCTTAGGAAAACAGTATTTAACTGAACCACGAAGAGAGGACATACCAGAGATGAAAAAAGCAGTAGAACATGCAGAGCCACACATATAAATTTGGAACTGAAAGCTTCAATACCCTCTCTACAGCATATAAAAGGTTTCCTTTTAGAGGATGTTGTGAATTCGTAACGATTGGATTGATGTACTGCATGATGGTATAAACTAAATGTCAGTTTTCCAAACAAAAGAAAACAATAAACTTGGAGAGCTAAGCTTGAATATAGAAAGAAATTTACCTGCTCTATGATAAATAGCATGAGTCCTGAAAATATAACCAACTTGATGACTTGACGGACCACCCAACCCTGTCGAATGCATGCAGTGCGGGGATAACTCGTCTACAAACAAAATCCCTTAATATGAAGACAAAAGAGCAAATGCCATGGATAGGAAATAATTGACGCAGAAGCACAGCAGGTTACCCAGTTGATTTCAATAAATCCACATTAATTAATTATCTGATAACCTACGCTAGGTACTTGAAAAATAATACAGTTTCCCCACGCATGACTAAAATTGCAATCTGGCAGAGAGAAGCCTGAGGATAACATTAGAAAAACAACAAAAAAATGAGGGGGGGGAAGCACCAACAGAGAGAGCGAGAGAATAGTTGACATCACAGAAGCAATTGTAAAGCAAAACCAAATTTGTCCAAGAAAGGTGAGAGTCCAGCACTTATAGGAGCAGTCAAGGGAGCAGAGGGGTAGCAAGTAGCAAAAGGAGGAGATAGGGGTGGAGAGCAGAAAGTTGAGCTGGCTGTGGTGAACACATGATGGTGGGAGGTGGGGCTGTTAAATGGCAGCCACAAGGCTTTGCTTTAGTGAGGTAATTGGGACAGAGGAGCTATAGTCATTACAACTGTGGTATGGCTTCCAAAGCATATCAGTTGAACTTCCAGGTTATCCAACTCAAAAAACAACGTTTATTTTTTCCCCACAGAAAATTATAAACAAAGATATCTCTCACACAAAACCTGAACAAAGTATATCAGGTAAACAACCTTTATGAGTGAAAGTATTTATACATTATACAATCATAAATTACGGACAAAAATTTCCTGGGTCTATTTGTGAACAGTTTGAGTGTGTTTACCTGGTAACATAAGGTGGGAGCCACCATGAAGTAAACCAAACTTTTGAAGCTAACATCATAAGAGTAGTTAAGATTTGAAGAAACAGACGAGGCCTCCCCCTAACATCACAACAAAAATTGCCACACAAGAAAGATCATTTCCCTTCATCAGTGTTTCACTGCCAACTTTTGCTGTTCCTTAAAAGAAAAAGATCCCGGTTCTTACCTTATCATGTGATTTAGCAAGCGCTCTCATGTCATAATTTGTATGTGCATAGGATACCAACTTCAGCCACACAACGCATGCAAAGAGCATTAATGTGACGCCAGATAGAACAGCAGAATCATACCTGCAGGATTTCAAACCACAGCCATGAACTCTTCAATGGCATCACATGAAGTAATTTGCCAGTTTTCTCGCTTGCTACAAACAAAATATATTTTTTATTATTTCTAATTTCTCATTCTTTGTTGCACTCCCCTAGCACATCACCGATCTATTGGACAATAAAAGCCCAACAATCTATGCCCAAGATTTGTACCAAAAACCATCAATCCACCTGAGATGCCAAGACATTGGCCCCGTTTGGTAGAGCTGTGGGAAAGTGATTATAACTTATAGCCTAACAGCTTATAGCTTATAACTATGAACATAAGCTGATTTTTGACTTACAAATTAAGTTTCTCCTCCCCCACTCAACGAATAAGTTGATTTTTGACTTACAAAAAGCTATAAGCTGTATTATTAAGCTGAACCAAACACATCAAAATAGCTTAAATTAAACTAAAAGCTGAAATAAGCTGGAAATAAGCTCTACCAAACAGGGCCATTAACCAAAAGGGCTTGCATGAAGCCATTAAATCAAGCAAAGCTCACAGTTAAAGCTTCTATCAAAATTCTGTTATATATTGATTGTTTGCAAATTAGGAAGGAATGCTCATTCTTGCATTTAATTACATAAATCATGCAATCTTTTGAGGAAAATGATATCCTTACAGAATTTTTAACAAGAATGATGTGGTAGCATTTTGGAAAATATGTCACTTTGATGAGTCTTTTGTTTAAAATGATACAATCAAGACTTGCCACATAATTTTGTATTAATTTTACATACAAAATTTCGGTTTGCATATCACTACTCATCTATTCAAGTCAAACAAATAACAGAGTTCAACTAGAATTTACTGACAAACACTCTTGGGTGACAGTGATGAAAGACAAAGAATAGCATCGACCCAATTACACTGCCTCGATCAAAGTTTAATGCAGCAAATTGCTAAATATTGTTTGCTTTTGTATTTTGATGCTAGAAATAAAACAAAATACCAAATGAAAATTTACAAGAAAGTAAGTGACAACTAACCTGAGGATCACAAAAACTGGAAACAAAACTGTAGCTGTCGTTATTAATATGTGAAGGCTGACAACCACCTGCAATATTTTGATTAGAAGTGAACAACTCTAGAGTTCAAGGGCTTAAAACATCAATGCATTGTCTCCAGTCATTATGGTAAGTTTACAAGTAACAACCAAAGAAACTGTGTGCATTTATGCAAAGTAGTCAGTGCCGAGGATGTTCTATCACTACAAGTCAGCCTGCCATAATAATGAGAAAAGCTACAAAACAAATGCATTAATGAAAAACTTAGTGAAATATCGTGTACATTTCAGGATAATGAAAGGATTGGCTATCTAATTGTATAACTTCCAACAGAGAGCTTTCAGAGTTTGTAATCAATAAAAATCAAATAAAAGTTCCTAGACATGTCTTATCCCAACATTCAAAATCTGATAGTTGTTTCCATAATTACTATTCCAATGCGAAGTATTATACTTTTAGTCTTAGTCCATGAGGAAAACATGACAGCAAAACAAAATGGAAAATAATGAAGAAATTAACAAATGAAAAGACTCATTAAAAATCTGATTAGCTAACTCACTGAAAAGGTTGTGTAGTTGTGTAAATGAGGCAGTACAGCATGGGCCACTGCAAAGCATGCATATACCTAAGGTTGGGTAGGTCCAAAACTTCCTTGTCAATGTCTTGCTGTCAAATCATGAAAGTCCAAAGTTGTTTTGATAGTTGGGAATTAAGATAGCATTATGTAAACAGAAGGATAAACTGGTTTTGAGTACAATAATGACTTTACCATATTAATAACCTAATCAACTGTAAACTACAACATTATATATTTTGCCTTCATATATTTACCAACAGTCTCAATCATAGGATTTCCTGCAGAACATGTGATGTTTGCTCATTACCGAGGGACAAACCTATACTTCGAAGATCTAGTTTGACACAAAATGTGCAATATGCTATGAAGCACTGATCAATATAATAACAATAAACATAAAGAAAACCTCAAGTCAACAATATGATGTGCTGTTTTCACAGGAATTTCATGACAGAACAGTGAACCATAGAAGTAGTTGTTAAAACGAGGATTTTTTTTAAAAAGAGGCACCAAGGGGGCACAGCACAGCCCACATACAAAAAGAGGGGAAAAGGTTACTAGCATCTTAAAAAAAAACCTGTGTAACAAATAGCAAAACATAGTCTTCTATTGCCTATCTCCGAAATAGTTGATGAATAGGACACCAATTACAAGAGTTGGACTCAAATCACTTACTGGTTCAGATATATACTTTTGTCGCACCAACTTCTCGACTACAAAAGCAGCAAGTGGGAAAAGCAGGAGAGTAATACTGCAGTTAAAACCAGAAGATGTAAGGCACTCCACAAACCACAGTTCAATTAAATCCTTCCCATAAATATCAAAATTAAGTATGATGCACCAAGTTATCAACCAATTCAATTTTATTATATATATATATATAGAGAGAGAGAGAGAGAAGGTTTAATAAGCATTACCAGCACATTAGAAGTGGCCAATCCCTCAATGATTTTGAACTAAACCAGAAACCAGACCTAATCAACCAGCCATACTGCACAGTAATACAAACATACATCATCTGTAATTGTAGGGCTAAAACATTTTCTTTCAGAAATGTGTATTGAGATCTTCTAGGCATATGCTATAATAAACATAACCAGAAATGCACAGAGACTCGCAGTCAAAATGTTCACAAAAATGAACACATGGGTAAAATCAACAGATTGCGTTAACTGTCCAAATGAATGTGAATTCAGAAAATTGTGATACTAGTAGTGAGGGACAAACCTTCATCAGATTTTCAATGATAAGCCGGCTGTTTACAGCAACAAGAACTACTATACAGAGGTTGAAGAGACCAGCATGACTCTGCCACATGATGTTAACTAGTAGTTAGCACTACACAGTTCTAGTATGAGCCATTCAAACAAGAAGTTAAGCTAAACAATTCAGAAAACACAGCTTCCAGCTATAAATTCATCTCGTGTACTGTTGCAGGCGGAGCCCACCATGTTGCTTCAAAAGCATCATAGAACACCAAATTGGTTTATTTCACTTGAATTCTATGATGGAACAGAAACTTGTCTAGCAATAGCATTTGCCAGCATTTAATGTCAATATTTTATATCGCCACACCCACATGACATATTTTAAATGATTAATAAATATAAACAAGAAGAGAAAACTACATGAGAGGTAAAAGCTTTTCTTATGCTTTTCCAAACACAGTTTTAAGTCTAACAGGCTTACTTATCATTTTATTTTATTCTTAAAAAGAAAAACTTATTGTCTCATGGCTTAAATTCGATGTAGAAAACAATCACATATTTACATAAGGCAACTAAGAAAACAGACAATATACAACAAAATCCTGATCACATAAGGAACTATAGATAAAGAAACAGTAATAATCTTGACCATCATGTAGTTGGTGGTTTGAATTTTCGAACAGCAATTCCAATGATCATGATAATTGTGAGTATATATGAACAAGATTGCACCAACTATGACACTTATACTAGCAGCAGCTTATACTAATGGAATTTCAACAAACAATTTTCATTCACAGCTATTATCATATCAGCCTCACATCCACAGGCAAACTGCTGAAAGAAATCAGCACTTATTTTTTTTGTTACTGACAACTTTGGTTTCTTAAATAAGCTATGCAAGGCTAAACAAGTCAATATTCATTTTGCAAAAGTTTTTCAATCCCAATTTGGTGCTAAATTATTATTCCTACTTTACAATACCCATAGGCCATTTTCTGAGGTTTATTATTTCATATTTCATCAAGTTGTTTTCCTCTTTAACTATTCAAGTATATTATTTAGGCCAGAATTCTTATTTTTAGCCCCTATTAGAGGCAGCAAAAGCTTCTTGTCTCATGGAGTTCAAGCTATTCAATAAAAACTAAATAAGACTAGCATTAATCATATGAATAAACTCAAGCCTAAAACCTACATAGACCTATCTATTCAAAGCGTAACATGAGATGAACATGCAGCTTGTTTATTATACAACATGGGGGATTGACATGTCAACTCATGAACAAAAATAAATCCCCTCTTGACAACCAGCAAACCCAACTTCTTCACATACACGTGATCCTAATCTATACTAACTTTTTGAAATCAAATAAGAAAAGCATAGGCATAACCTATGGTATTTATGCAGACATTTATTCCCACGTGTCATTATTAGGCCATAAAAATGGCACTAACTAAACAAGTTAAACCAATTTTGGATGCAACCGTGTCAAGATGACAGGTGACTAGGTACAAATCAGTCTAATCCTTGAAACCCTTACACAACCCATACTTTTAATGGTTAATTTCATCACCCATCAACAATCTAAACCCATTTAAGGTCAACCCAAACTTCTTTCACTCCATATTGGATTCCTGTCAATATTTGTTGGTCCTCTTATGAATTGCAACCTGTTCTCCCAACTGTTTTCAAATGTTAATTTCGATTTTAGCAAGATGGCCTTATCACAAAAATAATGGATCCAATGCACTTACACAGACCAACAGGCTTCACTCTTGCGACCCAATCAAATAAAGCAGTCCTATCAAACCATATTAATACTGTAATCTATCCCTTTTTCATAGCCACCAACCCTTATTGCACTTCTATTAACATTCCACCAATTGACCCATTCCAAATGGAGGTTACAAGAAATTTTGGAAGAACCCAACAAATGGTTCAGTCTAGTGATAACAAGGACTTACCCACCATTCTATGTTTTTTTAAGTAACGAAATACTCTTTATAGTGATACACACAAGAAAGAAACAACAAATTACAAAGCTCATGTTTCATCAAGAAGAGAATTCACTCTCATGGAGAGTGCTGGGAAATTGAACTCCGCACAAGTCTAGTCTTGTTTGCGAATTTCCCCTCCATAGGTTCCTTCTCTAAATTTTTTACCATTCCGTGCAGTCATCTTCCATATGCTTTTCCTTTTTGTAACACATCTTTCTGGTTTGTTGTTCTCCCCCTTCGTTGCATGGACTCTTCTAAATGTGTAAAACACAAGCATTGGACTCTCAATACTTGGATAGGGGTATGAGATATCATATATGTCCAGCATATCTAATGGATCATGTATCCAGTATGCATACCAGGTAATTATGTTTCCTATATAATAATGCATAAAACCCCTGTATTATGCATAAAACGTTCCATGTTAATTTCTAAACACAATCTTACACCAAAAATAAAATACAAATGATAGCAAACATGACATCTAGCCATGTCCTGGAGTCCTTAAGCATAGAAACTATAAGAATCTGGCACATAGGCACATATCCACACCCAACTACCATATCCAATCCCATGTAACATAGTTGTCCCTCTTCAATGTCAACCGAGTTGCCTTTGTATGACCTTCATTCTTCCATGATTCCATCTTCCTTTTTGTTCGGGCAGAATCATGTGTACCCACATATACTGCTGCCTAAGAATCATTGTTCGGCTCATTTAGCAGCACAAGTATGCCCAAAAAAAATGTTCACAAACAGCTTGGCCACAGCACTTCCCTTGCAGATAAAAAGTATAAACTGATCTTGCTCTTGGGTTCTACATGGAGTAACTAGGAAAGCCAATGCTTGCAAAAAGAAGGTTCTTAGTGCACGAGTAGCATTTCAGACAGGTTAAAATCTGCTAAATTTGAGCATATGTCAGCATACAAGTGGTCCCACCAATGAAAATTTAACATATTTCCAGCTTACCTGGGATCATCGAATTTCATCTACCATTGCAAAATTGACATCTTTTCAAGTTTCAAACTTACTCATGAACATTGAAATCAATTCTCTTACTTTTCCTTAAAAACACAAAAGGAACTTTTGCTTGCTATCTGTTTAGTTTCTGATATTATAAGCAAGAATGGAGACCAATCTTTGTTTTGCAAGAGAGGTTCAAATTTTTTTCTTTTTTTTTTGTTTGGATAAGTAGGGGTTCGAACTTCAAATAGCTAAAACAATGAAACCTCCAGTAGAATCAATACAAGCACTAGCAACCATTCATCTTCAACAATTCTTCCTTTCAATTTCTTTCCCTTTGACACGTTCTACACTAGTTGTGATCAAGTCTCCTTATGCAGGGCCTCCAATTGTGATTACTTTTTGATTAAGTATGCATTTACATTCTTAAGGGAATACTTTTCCCAATCGAACCCCATAAGCAATGTATTCTCCAATCACCGCACCTCTGTCACTTTCAGGCATCTGGTCATCAATTCACAAAATTCTTCCATTTCTATTCTAGTTATACAAAACTTCTTTTTTCTTTATTCCAGTCTCTTGTCTCCTGATCTTAAAAAGGTTTTAAATTCGAAGATAGCACCTGATACAGGCTCACCGACCATCAAAATACACGGTCAATAGGAAATTATATTAAAGAAACCTTCAAAAGGGGCAAACTTTTGTACAAGAAAGTATATCTGAATTCACAACAGCTCAACAGTTACCTGAATGCGAGACAGCATCTAAATTTAGTCTATTTCAGGCTCACGTTCATCAATTTAAGGTGAATAAGAAGCTACAACATGTTAAAACAATGAGAACGGAACTTCAAATTTGTAATCAGCTTCTAAAATGAAAAAGAACACTAAATTGCAATCAACAATGAATATATCAAAACCTGTTTGAATATAGCGTCAGAGCTGAGAGGACTCTCCCTGATTCTGCGGTGAGCCGGAGCAGACGGCCGGTACGAGAATTTCGCCAAATTGTCCTTCTCTCTGTCCTCTCCATTCGCGACCTTATCGCCGCCGTCACCGTCCCCGATCTGACTCTGATCGTTTTCCGAACCAAAAACCAAACTATCAGTTTCCAACGAGCTCGTCTTCGAGAGCGAATCAGAAATGGCCTCTTCTCCTCCTCCTCCCGTGGCGGCGCTCGGTCTCCGCCGAACGCAGGTGCCGGGATCCGCGGTCGACGTCGTGGTCGTTGCGGTGCCGACGCTCTCCGGCGAGTCTAGGATCGTCATTGGTGGAGTCTAGAGAGAGAGAGAGAGAGAGAGAGAGAGTTGCGCAGAAATGAAGTTATGAAAATGGAAGAAATGAGCGAAGTTTCGAGAAGTGGTGATGTACTTGTGGAGAGATTAGGCGGTTCGTGTACACTATATATATAGGAATAGGAATAGCGCAATTCTACAAGATGTATGTATGTATGTATCGATATGTGAATGGAATATATGTAGAGAGAGAGCTCTTCCGGAAGCCGTTGGAACTTTGAAGGAAAACAGAGACAAGCAGAGAGAGAGAAAGCGCTTGGAAGTTGATGGAGAGAGAGAGAGAGAGATGTCGAGAGCAGAGACGTTGCACTGTCAAAGCAAAGGCAGAATAAACTTGTCAATGTCATTTTAATAAATAAATACTACTTATTTATTTTCCTTTTTGAGCTCTTTGATTTGAAAGGCGGGGCTTATCTTTAGTTTGTGAGCAGATGGAAGAGTATTATTAAGGGTGGTCTGATATAATTTAAACGATCGTGTTACGTAGCTCGAATGTCGCGGCTCGACACTAAAATGACATCGTTTTGGTGTTGATTTTGCTTTTTTTTGTTTTTTTTTTTTTCCTGGTTTTGCAGAACAACGAAGAAGAAGAAAAAGAAGAAGAAGAGGAGGAGGAGGAGGAGGAGGAGGAGGAGGAGGAGGGAGGGGAGGGGGCCATAAAAACCGGTTTGAGGAGGAGGGGAGGCTGGGCTGCGACGGAGGAGGAAGCAGCAGCAGCGGCCGGAGCTGCGACGACGGCGGGGCGGGGCTGCGACGACGCCGACCTTCTCCTCTCCCTCTCTTTCTCTCCCTCTCCCTCTCCCTCTCCCTCTCGAGCCATTTCGAGCCTGGTAGCTTCGAGCTACCAGGCATTTTCCTAATTTAAATATGTATATTTTTTAATTTTTTATAAAATATGGGTTAGGTTTAAAATAATATGATAGAGATGTGATGTGATTTAAATAAGATGATATGATTTAAATAAAATAATGACTTTTTGATTTTTAAAATTTTTTAAAGTATGCCAAACAAGGCCTAAATTTGTGAGAGACTCATTAAGGATTTTGTTTTGATAATTTAAATCGATATTTAGAATTCGTCGAGTATTATATATTTATAAAAAATTAAATTGTTTGGATATCAATAATTACGTGATCAAATTAGTTTTGTATAAAAATATAAATAGTAAAAAAACAAACGATTGACAAAAATCTGATCTGATGAGATAACTATCGAAACAAACGATTGACAAAAATCTGATCTGATGAGATAGCTATCGATATCCGATTAAAATAATTTTTTACATATATATAATACTCAACAAATTTTATATATTAAACAGTTTAAATTATTAAAACGAAATTTATAAGACCATCTCCAACGGTGAACCAAACCCAGCATCAAATTCAAATTTTGATGAAAAACCTACTTTTTCAAGCTCCAACCGTTGCACCAAATTGATATCAAAATGAGATTTCAGCAAAAAAAGTATCAAACTGAGAACAAGACAGATATTTTACCAAATCATTGTTACTAACCGTTGAAAGAGGTACACCGGTCAACCAGCCGGTTGCCCGGCCGGTTGACCAACCGGTCAACCAGTAAAAGATTCAAATAGTTCAGGAAAAAAAGTTCAAACCGTTAAAAAAAATAAAATAAAAAAATAAAAATTGCCTAACCGGTCAACCGGCCGGTCGACCACCCCGGTCGTCCCGAAAAAGTTCAGAAAGTTCAAAAAAAAAAAAAAAAAAAAAAAAAAAATTGCCTAACCGGTCGACCACCCGGTTGTCCCAGAATAGATTTGGTGAAAGGTGAACCGTTGGAGCGAGTGGTATCAAATTTAGTGAAATGGGTCATTTTTTACTCAAATTTGGTGAAAAATTTGAGTCACCGTTGGAAATGCTCTAATGGATCCCTACAAACCCACCAATATCCCCCGGTCCGGTGATCAAATTGGAAGAAAACCCAGCCCTATACAAAAGTCTAGAGTCAAGGCTTGGGGACTAAGATTTTATTCAATAAGAATTTGTGGGGGAATGTTAGGATTGTTTGGAGTGTCATAAATAAGTGTATTTTTTATTTTTTTTAGATTAAAAAATTGAGGAAAAATATATAGATATTTGGGTTAACTTTTTGATTTTTTATGAAAAAATAGGTATTAAAAAATTATATATATTAGTGTGTAAAAGAAGATTGAGATGAAATAGGCAGTATTGGGAGTTGTGCAGTCGTAATTTTTGACTTTTGGTGAATAGTGATAACTTTTTAACTTTTTGAGTAACTTTTTAGCTTTTTGACTTTTTGACAACTTGCCAAACTTGACCTAAATTTGTGATAATAATTTTAAATAATTTTTGAATAATTAAAGTATTACTAGTCTTTTTTTTTGAATAAAAAAAGAAAAAGAAACCCGATTGACAGTTAAATTTAAGAGAGTTTTTTTAATAAATCTATTTTCTAAGAGTTTTATTTAATTCAATTTATATTATTTTTTTTACTATTCTATTAGATTCTATTTGAAGTAAGAAGACCAAAACACACCCTCAATCTCTTTTGTCCCCATTTAATGTTGATTGTCATTATATTTTGGTAGTTCCCATACATTAGGATGTTGACTGTCATTATATTTACATTAATTTAAAAATAATTTTTTGTCATTGTGTTGTCAATTACATGACGTGAACATGTATAATAAAACATACAAATATGAATGTTTACATGAATTCTAGAATATAGATAAAGACACTATGATCATAGTGACATGTCTGAAAGTTCGCATTGAGGCAAAAAAAATGGACAATATTAAGTAGAAATTGATACTTTTCAGTGATAATTTTCATGTTATATCCACATACAAATGTTAATGTTCACAATGTTATATCAATATGATCATTGTGACATGTGTGAAAGTTCACATTGGGGCAAAAAAATGGACAATATTAAGTAGGAATGGATACTTTTCAATGATAATCTTCATATTACATCTACAAATAAATGTTAATGTCCACAATGGTAATGTTGAGGTTCACATTGACAACCCCCTATTTTGAATATAAGAATGATGTTAATATTCACATTGTAGCTTACAAAGTACAAAATATGACAGGATCAACAATGTATTAATCACATATCATTATTTTTGTTGGGTAATAAAAAATGATGTGAATAAGAATTTACAGATGATGTGAATGTTTACATCACAACACTAGCTACACATAATGTTTTAGAAACTGGACCGGTGAGCGAACTAGGAAAGGGATTGGGTGGACGGGTCACTGATTTAACTGTCGAATTGAACCGGAATCGAACCGTGACGTAATAAATATATTTAAATAAAAATATAAGTAATAAAATTATAAATTAAAAATATTAAATTATCTTAAATATTGTATTAATATTTTTTTCCTGAAAAATATAATAATATATTTTAAAATATTATTAATTTTAATTTTGAAAGAGGAAATCAAATATTTAATATTCCATCTATATGATTTTAATTCAAATAATTTGATTGAAAGAAGAGGGAAAATTTTGGAGGGATATCAAAATTTCAAATCTCCTCCCAATAAATTTGGTTGAATCCCTTTTAAATTTTTTGAGTTTTTTTTGAAAGAATTTTTTTCTTATAAACAAGTAGAAACTTTCACAATAATTTCAAACTCTCAATGGAATACCTCACAAGGGGAGACCCTTGAAAGAGAGTTTATAATTAAAATTTTCTTATTATATATATATGTAAATATTTATAATTAAGAAATAAAAGTAAGTTAGCAGAAATCAAAAAAAAAAATAATTCCAAATCCATCGACCTAGTGAACCAGCTCCAAGTCGACCGTTTCAAACGTCGATTTTTTCAGTTTTCTCTAAATAGGCCGGTTTTTAGCTTCAAACGGTTTAGAGGGTATATTCGGACCGAAACCACTACCGGTTGACGGTTATTTAATGTTGATATTTAATGTCTCTAAACCACCATTTCATTATTTTTTGAAAAAAAGAAATAAAAAACAGAGGGTTCACGTCCTTTGAATATCATTAACACCAATAGCAACCACAATCACAAAAAGAAAAAAAATAATATATTATCACTGCTTAAAAATAAGAATGTTCACATGTTGTGAACGTTCACATCTCTACATTAGATGAGAGAGAATTTTCTGAAAAGGTATTGTGAACGTTCACATTAGATGAAAGAGAAAGTGCAAAAATATGACAACATCAATAATACATTAACCACACACCATTATTTTTTTGGATAATTGTCACGACCCAAACCCGCCCCTATGGGTTTAGCACTGTAACTGGCCAGTAATCCGAGATTACTGAAGGTCTGCTTAACAGTAATACAATAATACAGAGTACAGGGGCTGGCGGAAGCCAAAACAATAATTAAAAGATGTCCAATGAGCTGTGACAGTCTGTATGCAAAAAGACTTTTTATATATATACAATCAGTACCAAAAAGTATGTACAATATATACAATCATTCAGGACAGGGACTTAATCCCTACTAGAACAGTACAGTACAACACCATTCAGTCTATACAATAATTACAAAACATATACAAAAAGAGGGGAACTAAAACACTCAAAAAGCCCTAGCTTGAAGGACTTGGAACCTCGCAGTGAGGCATAGTGGTTGGCTTTGACAAAAGAGGGTCTAACCCACGCTACTAGCTCCGGTCTAATGCCTGAACACTTACATATGTATATAAAACAGTGAGCTAAAGCCTAGTGAATAACATAATGTGTAAAGAGGTTAAGAATGAATGTCCTTACAGTAACGAAAATAGTTCATTGAATCAGTATACCAGTCATTCAGTCATAACAGTCATATGTGGTACATTCATTAGCAGAACAGTACAGTAAACAGTAGGTCTTGAAAGACCGAACAGTCAATGATGGCCATCATAACAGTAAATAAAAGTTTCAAAATAGGAACTAACAGAGATCTCTGTAACAGTAGCAGTAACAGTAACAGTAGTTGCTAAGGATGCCACAATACTGTTCAGAATAGAGGGCAAACATTAATTCAATTAGCAGTAAACAGTTCAGTTGATCATTCAGAAAATATTCATTTTCGAACATATCTTTACAACATTGTTACTCACAGAGTTCTGGGCTACAGATAAGCTAGTACGCGTCTCCGGATGCCAACCCCACACAGTTACAAAATGAACACACACTAAGCTACACAGTTGGAAAAATAATA